ACAGGAGTTTGTTCCTGACACAATCCTGAGCATTTGGCTGGAAAGTCATGGCATAAAAACCCCACAGTCCAAACAGGGTTCAGCAGGGACCACCTGCATTGCCCACCTGACCTCGTTCATCTCTATCCCAACCTATTTATCACTCTTTGTTTATGGATATTTGGGAAATACTGGGAATATATCTTCGAGACTCCATTTCCCATAGTTTCTCACTCCAGGAGGACTTTGTGTAACAACTTGTTTCTGGCAGCTCTGGGGAAGTTGAAATTACAGTTCTCTATTAGAAAGCACATTAATTTGGGGCTTGGTTTAATTTGACCTGCAGAGGTTGTCCAGTGATGGCCATTTCTAGCAGCTGGACACAGAAGGATGGTCTGGTGCCCACTTCTTGTTGAGAACCCTGTTTTCTGCAGGTGTCTCTCACACCAGCACAGGATGCAAAAATTCCTTGCAGTGTCCTCTCCCAGGCATTTACATGGACTATGTGCTGGCTGGAAGATCAGATCTGGAATAAAGGCCAGGTTGGACAGGGTTTGGAGCCACTTGGGCTAGTGGAAGGTGCCCCTGCCCATGGTAGGGAGTGGAATAAGATGGTCTTTAAGGTCCTTTTCAACCCAAACCTTCAGTGATTCTATGAAGACATCCATCCACCTTTGCAGGCAGAACAAGGCTGGAAACTAAGCTAAAGGAATAATAAACCACTCCTGTTGCTTTCTTGGAGATTTTGGGAGGTTATTCTTGTTTTAGCAGCAAATACTGTGAAAGCAAACACCAAATGTTTTGGTGTCAACAGCTTGTCATGGAAATAATGACAGTGTTATCACTGTGGAGGGCTGTGTGTGAATCCCAGAATCACAGAGTCATTAACGTTGGAAAAGACCTCCAAGATCATCGAGTCCAACCTTGGACCAATCCCCACCTTGTCCCCCAGCCCAGAGCACTGAGTGCCACATCCAGTCATTCCATGGACACCTCCAGGGATGGGGACTCCACCCCCTCCCTGGGCAGCCCCTTCCAATGTTTAACAAGCCTTTCCAGGAGTAAATTCCTCCTGATGTCCAACCTGAACCTTTCCTGGCACAGCTTGAGGCCCTTCCCTCTCCTCCTGTCCCTTGCTCCCTGGGAGCAGAGCCTGACCGTCCCCCCCTGGCTCCCCCCTCCTGTCAGGGAGTTGCAGAGCCAGAAGGTCCCCCCTGAGCCTCCTTTTCTCCAGGCTGAGCCCCCCCAGCTCCCTCAGCTGCTCCTGTTGCTCCAGCTCCTTCCCCAGCTCTGTTCCCTTCCCTGTACACACTTCAACACCTTAAAACAGTGTAAAAATATTCACACCTAATACATATAAGAACTGGTGGGGAGTGGGATGTATCCCAAAACCCGGGGATGAACTGGTTTGGTTCCTCCTAAAACATCCAAAGCCAAAGCATTGATTGGATCAGAAAGGGAGAGTGGCAGGATCTCACCTTGGTGCTCTCCAGGCACTTTATTCACCATTTCCAGCCCACACGGGGTCACCTTCACATTTCTTTACTCCCCACCTGCACTTCCTCAAGGAAGGAAGCCATCTCCTTGAAGAGAGTCAGACCTCTTGGTGAGCAAAATAAGACTGCATGAGAGGAACTGAGGGTCTGTGAAGTTGGGAAGAACCAGGTTTCCCTCTCACTCCTGCACAGGAGAAGCGGCTCTGTGTGAGTGTCACCGAGAGCAGAGACAGATGTGGAGCCCGAGATGGGAAAATAAACTCATTACTCCATCTGCCCGCCGTAAACAGCGTGAAATTAGCAACAAGAGAGGGATAAAACTCCAGACAAATGGCCTTTTAAAGAGAGCAGGGGGAGCTGGAAGGGCTGCTGGTAGAACAGCAGAGGCATGGAAGACCCAGCCGGGCGCACATCCTGATTTTCGGTCAGGGAGGACAAAAATCCTGCGGCACAAAGTCCACGAGGAGCTATTTTGGAAGGCAAAAAGCAGAGAGGCCACTCCATCTTTTGGGAGAGAACACCTAATATTGCTCCTGTCCCGCCTGGTAGGGAGCACCATCCATTTTATAAGTCACAGAGATTTATTATTTTTTTGTCCCCCCTAAAAGGCTCTGTCTTAATGTTGCATAAAATTCCTCTCCGAGGGGCCGTGAGAGGAGGGAAACGTGGTGTTCTGCTGTCTCAGTTGCAAAGACACCTCTAACAATGAAAGCCCCTGAACGATTTGGGGTTTAAGTGACGTGGTCACGGAGCATTTGTGACGCTCCCTGCCATAAAATCTGAATTGGGGGCGTTCTATGCCATGGGTTTGGGCCGTAAATATTCACCCCTGGCCTTTGTTCCACGGAGGGAATCTCAGCCCGAGGATATATTTACTTAAAAATTTCTCAAGTGGTCAATCTGCTTGATTTATTTAAAGTGGGATCCCGAAGTGTTTTACAGCTTTTACAGGCTGGTTGTGTTTATAACCATCCTGGGGAGTATCTTCTGCAATTCATGAAGTGGAGAAGGGGAAGGAAGGTCATAATTTCTGCTCTAACCTACTTTTCCAGCAGCTGACAGGACACTGACAAAGTCATCTCTTCCAGAATAAAACCTGCCGTGCTTTATCCTCATCCAGAGCAGATCCTTTGGAGAAAGGCAGGGTGAAATAAGCCAAGCACTTTTCATCTTTATTCCTACGGATTCTGCTTGGATATGTTCAGATATTTTATGGATCTCAGTGAAATTGCAGCCCAAACGATATTTCAAGGAAACTCATTCCTTGTTTTCGGAGTTCTTCAATATATGACAGCCCAAGGCAGAGTTTCCTACATGCTGGAAATAATTTCTCCCTCCACATTTGGCAGATCCAAACAAGCCTTGAGTGCTGCATAAACCAGGTCTATGAATAAATCAGGGGTGGGAGAACTGGGATCCGAGGTGTTGTGAGATTTGAAATACCTGAAAGCTTGGCATTGGCCACGAGGCACTTGGAAATGGTCTGGGGTTTGATGAAAGGTTTTGCATTCGAGATGCCATCGGGATATTTCGGGAGGAAACCTCCCGATGGGTTCATCCAAAGTTTGTCATAAACATCACTGAAATATCTGCACTCCAGCTGCTGCTTTCTGCTCTAGTCAAGAGCAGCAGAGGCAGCTCCTTCTTAGCAAACACTCTGAGACTGCTGAGGGAGGAGAGATGGTTTTATCGGGTTCAAACATCGGACTGGGAGGTGCAGAAATTAAGGAGAGCTGGCAGGTGGAAGGTGAAAAGAAGGGACTTTATGGAGAGATCAGCAGATCTTGGAGAGAGCAGAGATTCCATGAAACCCTCAGAGATGGAGATCAAGGACTCACAGTTTTCTCAGGAGGGAGGATTTTCTAATATTTTCTAACTTGGGTCTCATCAGTGACAGGCACTGGGGTGGCTCGAAAAGCAGAAGGTGCCCCCATCTTGTCCATCCTCACCCTTCTGGTTCCCATCCTTATCCATCCTCACCCGTCTGGTTCCCATCCAAAAGGAAGACAGGTTATGTCAGAGACAGGGAGCTCCTTTGGGAGGTGTCTGAGAAATCCTCCTTCAAGGTCATGGCAGTTGTTTCTGTTTTTACAGTGCAGAAGGATCCGAAAATTACATTGCAGGCTCTGGAACTGATTCTCCCATTCCATAACCCAGGTTTCCCTCCTCAGCACTTCCCCAAGCCTATGTCACCCCACTCCAGAGCATCCCACCAGCTGGAAGGGGTGACATTCCCATGGTCCTGGCCCCGTCTCCTCTCCACCACCTGGATGCCACCATGTCCTGCTGAACACAGCTGAGCCTCTGGCCCTGTCTTTGTTGTGAGCCTTGGGGTGGGAACATCCCTAAGGATTCAGCTGGGATGTGTCCAGCCTGTTTTAGCAATTAACAGCATGGAATTGGGTTGCTCCAGGCACTGGGACACAGCTCCACTGAGCCCTGATCAATTAATTTATTGATGTCCACGTGGAAATAACATCTTCCTCCCATGCTTTGGTCCCCCCTCCCCAAATGGGGAACAAACCCCTTTGTATTTTCACGAGTAACTCTGAAGACAATTTCCAAAATCCTGGAAAAAGCCAAGACAAACCCAGTGGGAGTCCTGGGGATGTGCTGACAGGGAACAAGGGCCAACTCCTGGGACACAGGTGGGCTGACTCCATGTCAGAACACCCACACAGAGCCATTCATAGCTCCAGGGAGGCGTAGGTACAGGGAATTCGTGTGCCAGGAGGAGAGGCTGGGGGTCTCCGTAGGGTTGGGCTGCTGTTAACTTGGGAGAGCAGGAATGAAGGAGAGAGCGGGGAGGAGAATGGGTTTGGAAAGCTTTTTTGTGCTCTGAGAAGCAAAGAGGAAGTACCAGGAATGATTCTGTCACTTGTAATCCTGCTACCAGGCTAACCCTGTCATGGAATCGTGGAATGGTTTGGGTTGGAAGGGAAAGTCGAGGTCATTCAGTCCCACCCCTTGCCACGGGCAGGGACACCTTCCACTAGCCCAGGTTGCTCCAAGCCCCGTCCAACTTGGCCTTGGACACTTCCAGGGGAGGGGCAGCCACAGCTTCTCTGGGCAGCCTAGAGGAAGGAGGCTGTGGGAGACGCAATCCATTCCCTGCCTGAGGTTGCTCCACAGCCCTCACACCTCTTCCCTGTAGGAGAGAAGATTGAGAGGAGACCTCATTGCAGTTACAAATTCCATGGGAGGGGAAGAGGAGGGGCAGGAACTGAGCTCTGCTCTGGGGGGACCAGGGACAGGACCCAGGGAACAGCTGGAGCTGTGCCAGGGCAGGCTCAGGTTGGATCTCAGGGAAAGGTTCTTCCCCCAGAGGGTGGTTGGGCACTGCTCAGGCTCCCCAGGGCAGTGGGCACAGCCCCAAGGCTGCCAGAGCTCCAGGAGGGTTTGGACAATGCTCCAAGGAACACGGGGGGATTGTTGGGGTGTCTGTGCAGGGCTGAGAGTTGGACTGGATGATCCTGGTGGGTGCGTCCCAGCTCAGGATATCCTGTGACTTTGCTTTCCTTGCAGAAGGCATGGCAGAAGCCGTGGGCTCAAGCAGGGACTGCCTGCAGGCCGGCGAGTCGTGCACCACCGACCCCGTGTGCAGCGCCAAATTCCGGACCCTGCGGCAGTGCATCGCCGGGAACGGGGCCAACAAGCTGGGCCCCGACGCCAAGAGCCAGTGCCGGAGCACGGTGACAGCCCTGCTCTCCAGCCAGCTCTACGGCTGCAAGTGCAAGAGGGGCATGAAGAAGGAGAAGCACTGCCTGAGTGTCTACTGGAGCATCCACCACACCCTCATGGAAGGTCAGTCCTCTGCAGGGAGCTCGTTCCTGGTGGCCTTCCCAAGAGGGAGTTGATTGTGGAGCTCTCTGCAGAGCTCCTGCAAAACAAGGTCGTTTCTGTACCCTCCTGTTTCCTCTCAAGACCTACTGATAGGAGTCAAGGGAATGGCTGGAGCTGTGCCAGGGCAGGGTCGGGTTGGATCTCAGGAAAAGGTTCTTCCCCCAAAGGGTGGTTGGGCACTACCCAGGCTCCCCAGGGCAGTGGGTACAACCCCAAGGCTGCCAGAGCTCCAGGAGGGTTTGGATGATCCTCTGGAGCACAGGGTGAGATTGTTGTCGTGTCCGTGCAAGGCCAGGGGTTGGACTGGTTGATCTTGGTGTATCCCTTCCAACTCAAGATATCCATGATTCTACTGACCCCCCTGGTAATGACATTTTGGGCAAAACAACCCTGAAAACCTGAGGCACCTCCTGCCTTTTCTTTTTTTTTTTTTTTTTTTTTTTAATTTGCCCTCTTTTTCATGACTTTCCCAATATACCTTGAGATCTTTTCCTGGGGGAAATGCACGGCATGTTTTGCATCTAAGGATGTCAACCAAGACCACAAGCGCCGTGGAATTCACAGGAACAGTCCATAAAGCACAGGCACCGAGGAAAAAAACAGCCTGAACTTCAAAAAAATTCACCCTCTTGGAGCTTGTGGAACGCACCAGTGTCTTTGGGTTAGCGAAGATTTGGGGCTGGTGACATCAAACTGGAATTTAAAGTGTTCCCAGAGCCGGGATTCAGTAAGTTTGGATTTTGACGGGTTTTAAGAGTCGCCATAAAATCGCACCTCGGTGGCCGTAACTCTTCCTTGTCAGGCCGAGGAGTGTTTTATGCACCATGAAAATTAAAATGGGGAATAAAACAGGCCCTTCCAGCCATGGGCTGGGAAATAGATTAATAAAACACTCCTGGATTAAACCTGGAAGGAGAAGTGCAGGGGTGAGGCCATGGGCCAGAAGGCCAAGCAAGACGAAGAGGATGGAGAATACAACCCGTAGGCTTTCTGGAATGGGAGCTGGTTGGGAATGGGAACTGGTTGGGAATGGGAACTGGTTGGGAATGGGAACTGGTTGATAAAGTTCCTGGAAAGCTTTCAGGTGCCACAGCTTGAAGGGTGCAGAGCACGGTGCTATGAACCAACTGGGGACATCAGAGGCCTCAGCACCCTCCAGGATCTGATTTTTCCCCTAAAAATGCCAGATGAATTAGTTTCCATTGAAGTGCAACCTGGGGAAGAGGTGGCAATCCAAGGACATTCATCTCAATGGGCTGTGTCACAATTCCTTCCCTGCTGACCTTCATGGCTAAAACTTTGGCCACAGGTCATCTGTGACGTGGCTCTGTGGGATGGTGGGGTCAGGAGAATTTCCAGCTTTGGGATGTGGAATGGTTTGGGTTGGAAGGGACCTTAAAGACCATCTCATTCCAACCCCCTGCCATGGCCAGGGACACCTTGCACTAGAAGGAAGAGGAGAGAGAGGCTGGCAGAGGCCAAGAGTGGGTCTCCAGGTGCAGGATAGAAGTTGAATGGGCTGGATGAACTTCCTCCCAGAGTCTTGGGACTTCCACCTTTGGGATGGCTGTGAGAGGGTTGTTTTAAGAGGCTGGCAAGACTCTGCCCCCCTTCTCTGCTCTATTTTTTTCATGACTGAGGTCACTTGCAGTGCAGATTCACCCCCCAAACCTGTGGTTTCCTTGCCTTAATTTCCCCGGGGTGATACATTTCATAACAGTCCCGGAGTCCTCACGCGTTTAATTGACTGAGAAAGGAACCCACACAGAGCTTTGTCTCTCACTCACACACACCCAGGAGGCTGCAAAAAGCTTCTTAGAAGCCCTCTTGTAAAAACAATCGTGGAAGTGTGTGCTCAGGGAATTTGCAAAGCACGCTGTTTACTCAGGGCCACCTTCCCATTTAGAGACACAATAATACGATGACAACCTGATAACCATCCTCTGATAAAGGTGCTTTGTCATCAGGACATAAAACTGCTACTCTGGGACGTACAAATGGGCCCCTCTCCGGAGGGTAACGATGCAGGATATTTCAATGAAGGTGTAAAGCTGCCTTGGAATGCACCTGTGGTAATTCTAGGGCCTTGTGTATCCTGGGAGCCATTTCTTCCTGGAGATCAGCATATGCCCGGAGCGTGAGGTTTGATAGTCCTTTTATCCCAGCTGCTGTTCCACATCCATCCAAATGTCTAATAAAGCAAGGAATTGATGCTGAGCTGTTTGCTTCAGTAATATTCTGTGGGATCCATCAGGATGACAGGGCAGTACAGGCCGTTGTGAACAAAATCAGCTTCCCAGAGACTCAAAAATGAGGAGAGGAAGCTCCTGCGGGAGCTGTGGCTCATTAGCTCTGTGCCAAGTAATAATGGCAAGAAGAAAGGGGGAGGTGGTAATAAATATGGGGTGTGTTGTCACACACACACACACAGAGCCCTGGCCGTGTCCTAGAAAGAGGCGAGGACCATATCCCAGGTTGGCACACAGAGGAAAGAGCAAGAACGGTGATGGAAACGCTGTGTGTGGAGGGAGCTGGTGGTTTGAACCCTGCCCACAGCCTGGTGTCCTCAGTGACACTCCCTGGAGAGTGGCTTGAGCTGCAGAGGATTATAACTCAACAGTTCCCTGCCCCACTCCAAAGCTGAGATGTATTTTTAAAAAACAGTCCCATCCTACTCCCTTCTCCAAGGATGTGGCCACACACCAGTCCCTGCAACTCTGGGGATTTATTTATGGCGCTTGGAGCCACCAAACAATCCTGCACTGCAGTCTCTGAGCCTTGTGCACCTCAGCCATCCCTCAGGAGCCTCAGCTGCCCTCTCACCAGTTTCTCCTGTCCCCTCAGGAATGAATGTCCTGGAGAGTTCCCCCTACGAGCCGCTGAGCAGGGGCTTCGATTACGTCCGCCTGGCCTCCATCACTGCAGGGAGGGGGGAGGGGAGCTGCTCTTACTGGGTGGGGGGGGGGGGGGGGGGGGACTGGCTCTGGAAGAGCTACAGACAGGGAAATCCTTTGTGAGCATTGCCTGGTTCAGGCCCAGTAGTTGCTTTTCTAAGGAGTTGCCTGTGATTCCTGTGCTAAACTGTTACACGTTCTGGGAAGAACCACTTGTGGTTCTTTGGCTTTTTTTGTGTCTGTTATGGTGTGGGCATGAAAAAAAAAGGGCTGGGACTGAGGAGTGTGGTGGGAAGACGTCTTCCAATGGGCTCATTCTCCACAGCAGGTGGATGATCTGTGCCCTGCAGACAGCTCAGTAAACAGGAGCTGCTTGGATTTCAAAGGTTCTTCCACATCAGTCACAGGGTCAAACTCTGCAGAGAAAAAGGTCAAAAACCCACCCTATGGGTTGATCCCAGACACAGCCTTTAACCCCACGCCCCGAGGGAAACCTCAGCCCCCTGTTTTGCTCTGCATCATGTAATCCTCTTAACAACTTAAACAGAGCTGCCTGACACCTTTTAACCCCTGGAGGGCACAAACAGGGCTCAGCAGTTAAAAGGTCGGCCAACAACCCATCCATCACCAACCAGCTCCTGCACCAGCCATGAGGGAGCTTTACCAACAGTGATTTGGGTTATAAAACTCCCCGTCTGGGAGCAGGTAATGTGCTGTGGCAGATGTGCCAAAACATCTGTCCTGTCTCAGCTTTTCCCTGCTGTGCCCCTGGCTCTGGGGTGGCAGCACAGCTGGAGGGCACCCAAGCGAGGAGGAGCAGCAGGTGCCTGAGGCTGATGGATGCCCTCAGTCCCTGCCACGGCCAGGAATATTGTCCAGGAGCAAATTAACCCATCAGCCCTGGACAATCAAAGCAGAGAGGGATGGGAGGTGCTCCCTGCCCTCGCTCTTCTTATTGACTCCACTTGACAGATGGGAGCGTGGACACTGGAGCGTGGCCAAAGCTGTTTGCTGGGTCATGGCCTTTCTAATGGAGTTTTCCACCTTTTTCTAAGAGTCCTCCAGGGCTTCGGAGCGCGGGGAAATCCAGGCATGGGGATTTTTCTGCACGGTTAGCACATTTTTAAGGCAGACTGAAATCGTTTGGGCAGCAAAGCAAATGGGCCCAGAGCAGCAGGGATTCATCAGAGGACTCAGCATCTACTTAGGGACACGAATTTTCTTGGTTTAACCTGTTTTTCCCTATTTATACCAATCAAAATATTCCATAACATGACTCACAACCTGCCACCCTGTGCCTGTCCAGTGTCCAGGGCCATACAATCAGCATTGCCAAAGGATCCTCTTTCAAATCTACCAGAAAAAAACCCCAAAATTCCCAAGAACTTGTTGAAACAAAAAACACCCCCATGACTGTTTGCCAAGCAAGAGCAACAGGTATTTTAAACCAAATTTTACCCAAACAATATGTGGCCACTCTTAAATCTGTGCAAATGGAGCCACATCCCTGCACTCCTAATTGTAGCAGTGATTTAAAAAGGACATCCTTTGGTGTTGTGTGGGAAGAGGAGAAAATCCAGTGTGTTCCCTGTGATTTATGAACTGAATGGATGATGAAACCCTTCCAAGGAACTGTTTCCTCCACGTTGGCTGGCAGCTCCCTGGCATAAAGTGATGCTCTGACAATATTCCTCTCTCTGGGCATTTTTAAAGGGAAGTATTTGGTGGTGGGAACGCCCCAAGCAAAAGCTTCACCCTGAAAAATTTGGAATTTGACTTCCAGCTCACTGTAAGCAGCAGGGACAACAGGAAGGGAAAAAGAAATGCTGGGAGAAGGAGCATCTGATAATGCCAGGGAAATAAAGGAGGGCAGCCAGCTCTGAAGTGGTCAGGGAGACTGTCAGTGTTTCAGCACTTGTCAGCAGTGACTGGCTGGTTTTAACTCCTGACCAAAGATAGGGTTGGACTCTGCACTGGGAATTTATCATTCTGGGGATTTTTCCTAAGTGAAAAAAATCCTTCTGTGCTGGGGAGAAAGCCCTGGTGTGCTGCAGGTCATGGGCTTAATGCAGAGAGGTGAAAATCAGCTTCAACTTTATTTTCTCTCTCATGCTTGGAGGCTCCTTGTCTCACCTGTGTGAGCAAACAGAGCCTGATATCCCAACCCACTCCTGCCATGACTCTGGAGCATTTCCCCCTTTATAAAACAGACCCCATCCATCTCTAGGGACCCTACAGCCAGTGCTACACGAAACACCTTTCATAGAATCCCAGAATCCCAGAACAGATTGGGTTGGAAGGGACCTTAAAGATCTTGTTCCACCCCCTGCCATAGGCAGGGACACCTTCCACTAGCCCGGGTTGCTCCAAGCCCCATCCAGTGGTCCTGGACACTTCCAGGGATATAGGGGCACCTGGAAGACCTTTCCCTCTTACTTACATCCCACATTTGCAGAGGAGGCTGTTGGCCTCATATAAACTCGTGAGATCCCTGTTTTCCTACTGTTTGTTTTGCATTCATCACAATTCCTGCTTTATTTTCCTGATTGTTCCCCGTGCTCCACGTTTTCCTCCAGTATCCCTGTGTCCCCACAGCACACCCCTGCTCTCCCACCCACACTGGGACATCCTTTCTCCTCTTCTTTAAGAGGGTGGAAGTGCAGAATGATTTTGCTGAAGGTGGGGAAGGCTCTGGGGGCAGACCCATTATCAGGTCCCAAGGGCTCCAAGGGGGATGGATCCTCTGATCCCATCCTGTGAAGGCACCATTACTTCCTAGGACATGGATTTACTGGTCAGGACTGGTCTGGATGGGGGAAGTGAGAGATCTGCTGTGGCACTTTGAGACCCAAGCAGCTCTTGCTTAGCTGGGCAGGTCCTGGAATGGACCAAAGCCTGATGGGACCCTCCAGGTTTTCTTCTTTCCAGAAGCAACTCACTGCACATGATAGAGAGCCTGAGGTGCCAGGATTAGTGAAGACCATCCAAGGATCAGCAGCCTCAGCTTTGCCACTGACTCGGTGCATAATTTTGAGCAACTTGAGGAAAAAAAAGGGTCTTTTAGTAGAGATCCCAATTGGTGGATCCAGCCGTGGCCGTAAGCAGATGCAATTCCTGATGGCTCCTGTTTTCCCAGGCCTCAAGTTCCAGTTCACATTGGAAAAGTGTTACAAAATGCCCAGGGGAGAGCAAAGCTTCATTTTATTAAATACAGGAGAGTGGGGGAGTGAGCCCTGGGGGGTGAGGTTTGGTGGGTGGCTGTGGCATCTCTTGGGAAAAAACAAGTATGGGAAGTGGATTTGGGCCTGCCAGGACACGGCAAACAAATGTGGGCTGCACCTGGACACTGTTTTGGGGTCCACAACTTGGAGGGGGTTGTGGTCTCACCACGGTGGCTGATGCAGGAAAATAACCCTCTGAGACTCTTTTTGAGTATTAGAAAGCAAAAACCGCTCTCTTTATGCAGGAATGTTTTCCAAAGTGTGCCGGAGACAACAAAGTCTCTTGCTTTTATTTCATTACCTAATTACCAATTACCTGAGAGTGCCACACCCACCTCCAAAGCCGTCCCTCCCTCGGTACCGCCCTCCCCACGCCTCCCAAATTTCTGTTGGAGCTTTCAAAAAGATCAGCTCTTCATCTTCTCCTCCTCTCCCTCATCTCCTTTGGGATGTTATGGCATTACCTGGAATGCTTTCAAGGCTTTGGAGAAGCTTTGGTAATATCAGGTGTTACAGCCTTTTTCTCACTCCAGTTCAGAAACAGAGAAACCCTTGAAAATTTTAGGAAACCAGCACAAAAGGAATAGTAAACTGCATGATATATAGTATATGAATGATATAATATATATGTTTAAAATATATAAAATATATATAATATTTAAAATGTATAAACTATATATAATATATAAAATATATATAATATACAGTATATAATATATAGTATATAAATGATAAATACTATGTATTTTATATATAATGTAATATATAATATATAAAATATATATAATATACAGTATTAATATATAATATACAATATATAGTATATAAACTATATAGACTATATAATCTATTACATATATATAAAGCATTAATATTATTAATATATTAATATAATAATTATAATTAATCAATAATAAATAATATAATGTGAGAAGATAATTAATAGTTATCATATGTTATTATAATATAATTATAATTTATATAATTAATATTTAATGCAGTACAATTAGTATATATTAATATTTAATGCAATATAACTAGTATATTGTATACTATAATTAATATGTAATATCTTATAATTAATTCTAAGATACAATAATACATTATTATACCATATAGTGTATAATTATAATATACAATAATTATATGTCATTAATATAATGTCATTAATATAATATACTAAAATAATAATTATATTAATTATAATGTTAGTCATGTAGTGATTAATATATTTTATTAATATTATCAGCTATATAATATATTAAAATAATATAATTTATAATATATATCACATATATAATATATCACATATAATAATATATCATACATACTATATATTTTATATATGTACTATATGTTATATATACTATTCATTTATATATACTATATGTTATATATATGTACTACATGTTATATATATATGGCATTAATAATATATAAAGCATATATAATGTATATAATATCTATCATAAAATATCAATAATATATTATATCTATAATATATGTAATATATATCTGTAATATCATAATATCTATAGTATCTAGAATATCTATAATATTTATAATATCTATAATAACTATACTATATATATTCTAATTATATTATTATAATATTTATTATATATAATATATAGTCTTAAAATACACTATATATTATATATAGTATATATACTATATATTAAAATATTAAAATAAAATACTAAAGCATAGTGTATATATATAATATATTATATCTATAATATCTATAATATATAATATATAAAATATGTATATTTTATATATAGCATGTATGATACATGTACTATATGATACATGTAGAGCATTAATAATATATAAAGTATATATGATGTATATAATATCTATCATATAATATCTTAATATATTATATCTATAATGTATATAACATATCTATAATATCCATAACATCTATAGTAGCTAAAATATCTATATATCTCTAGTATCTATAATATTTATAATATCGATATTAACTATACTATATATATTAATATATTTATAATATATATTATATTATATATTATGTATTATGTATTATATATGATATATGATATATGATATATTATATATGATATATTATATATTACATATGATATATTGTATATTATATAATATATAATACATGATATATAAAATATATAAATATTTAATATATAACATATTTAGTATATAATATATTTAATATATATTATATATAATATATAAAATATATAGAATATATATAATACACAGGGGTGGTGCCACTGGGGTTGGGTCTCGGTGCCAACCCCCCCCGTGCCCCGTCCCACAGGGTCGGAGAACGAGGTGACGCAGGTGAACCGGTGCCTGGACGCGGCCAAGGCCTGCAACGTGGACGAGCTGTGCCAGCGGCTGCGCACGGAGTACGTGTCCCTGTGCATCCGGCGCCTGGCCCGCGCCGACTCCTGCAACCGCTCCAAGTGCCACAAGGCCCTGCGCCGCTTCTTCGACCGCGTGCCCCCCGAGTACACCCACGAGCTGCTCTTCTGCCCCTGCGATGACACGGCCTGCGCCGAGCGCCGCCGCCAGACCATCGTCCCCGCCTGCTCCTACGAGGCCAAGGACAAGCCCAACTGCCTGGCGCCGCTGGATTCCTGCCGGGAAAACTACGTCTGCAGGTAACGCCCGTGCACGTGGAGAGCTGTCCCTTGGGCACGTCCCAAGGGTTCGTCCCCTGGTGACAGCCCCAATGCACTCACCTGAAGGGTCCCCCATCCCACCTCATCCCATTGACTGGTCGTTGCCTCAGTGGCTCCTTCCCACAATCCACGTCCTTGTATCACAAGGTGTGGGATACAAGGACACATACACAGGGTGTGAGATACAAGGACACATACACAGGGTGTGAGATACAAGGACACATACACAGGGTGTGTGATACAAGGACACATACACAAGGTGTGTGACACAGACAGAGGATGATTTGAGATGCTCACACTGGAGCTTTTTAGACCTTTTCTATGTTTTTTTTGGCTTTGGTCCTAAAGAAAGACCTTCTCTGGGTCTTGGTGGCAAAGCTGGATCTCCCACCACATCCCACTGAGAGTTCATTGCCCTGGTGGCTCCTTCCCACATCCTTTCCCCAGACACAAGGTTTTAACAGACAGAAGATTTGAGATGTTCATGCTGGAGCTTTTTAGACCTTTTCTGTGGTTTTTTTTGGCTTTGGTCCTAAAGAAAGACCCGCTCTGGGTCTCGGTGGCAAAGTTAGGTCTCTCACCACATCCCACTGACAGTTCATTGCCCTGGTGGCTCCTTCCCATGATCCATATTCTTGTATCTTACACAAACAGAAGAACATTGGAGATGTTCAGGCTGGAGCTTTTTAGACCTTTTCTATGTTTTTTTTTGGTTTTGGTCCTAAAGAAAGACTCGCTCTGGGTCTCGGTGGCAAAGTTAAGTCTCCCACCACATCCCACTGACAGGCCTTTGCCCCAGTGGCTCCTTCCCACATCCTTTCCCCATACACAAGGTGTTAACAGACAGAAGAAGATTTGAGATGTTCATGATGGAGCTTTTTAGACCTTTTCTACGGATTTTTCGGCTTTGGTCCTAAAGAAAGACCCGCTCTGGGTCTTGGTGGCAAAGCTGGGTCTCCTGATCCATGGATGGTCTGCACCAATCCTGGCACCTTAGACCCCTTATCCTGTGCAATGAGTTTTTTCCAGAAGGTGTGAGGCACGAAGGGATGTGGGGTGGGGTGTTTGCAACCACTTTCACTGATCCATCTCCCCACTGTCCATCTCCCCTAGTCCACAGCAACCCACATGGAGAGACAGGACAAGGGGGAATGGCTTTAAATTGAAGGAGGGTAGATTTTGATTGGATTTTAGGAAGAAAATATTCTCTATGAGGGTGAGGAGGCCCTGGCCCAGGTTGCCCAGAGAAGCTGTGGCTGCCCCTGGATCCCTGGAATTGTCCAAGGCCAGGCTGGATGGGTCTTGGAGCAACCTGGGCTAGTGGAAGGGGGGATGGAACAAGATGATCTTTAAGGTCCTTCCTAACCCAAACTATTCCATAATTCTAAGCTCTGGTGGTTGCAACAGGAGTCTCAGGGTCTCAGTGTCACTCCAGATCCATCCCTCAGCCTGTGGCCAGTGTGGTTTGCTGCTCTGCTTCCATCCAACCCCACAGACCCATCCCGTGTGCTCACTCACAGCCTTTTTCCTTCTCTACTATTTTCACCCCTTTATTTCTCCAAAAGTCCTTGATATTCCAGAAGGCCAATCCACACACAGCTCCCGGGAGCAGAGCCCATCTGTCTGTGGGAGATGTGAGACCATAAAACACCGACTGTGGTGGTCCCAGCCCAGTGCCCTGGGTGCAGCTGGAGCCCTGAACAGACACCTGGAGAAGGAAAACACAAGAACAAGTGTAGGACAACACCTCCAGCATTATCCCAGACTCTAATTATTGTGGGGTTTGGGACTTCCTAAGCTGAACTGCCAGCAGCCATTGCCCACCAGCACATCATCCTTAAATTACAATTAAAATATTCTTTATTTTCGCAAAGAGGAGGTGAGAGCAGCAGCATCCTCTTGGAGGGATGGACTGGGACAAATATCCCTGTGCACCTCAGAAACGTGGATGAAGGACAACAAAGAATGATGCAAAGCCTTTGAGCCACCCCAGCCCTGGTTCAGATGTCCCCTGGTACCCATGGAACCTGAAATGGAAGATTGATCCTGGAATCTGAAGTGGTCCTACCCTCTCCCTAACAAGACAAGAGAGCCCAGTGGGGAGGAAGAGGTTCAAAGGGGAGAGTGTTGCCCCCCAGGAGGCTGGAAACCATTTCCTGCCCCAGCACAGCTGTTCATTATCTGCTCCCTTGGCCTCTGAATGTAGAATGTAAAATATCCTCCAGAGGCACAGCAGGAACAAGGGGTTGACGTGTGACCTGGTCAGAGCCAGCAGTGTAGAAACCACGAGGAATAAATCATAAAGGAATGGAGTAAAATACTCCATTTGCCTGTCCTGCAAGTCCTCCTCCTGCAGCTCCTTCCCAGCTGTAACCCCTTGGATTTCCCAGCTTGGAGGGGTGGGTTCTGCTGACACAGATTATATGGAATTACATAAAATCTGCCAGCAGCATCTCCCTCCTCTAAAAGCGGCATGTTTTGGGCAGGAAGGTTTTTCCTGGTGTCATAGGAGAAAGGGGTTGGTGTGGGGCAAATATGGGAACAAAGAAAAGGAAAAAAAGAAGGAGAAGGCTGAGGAGGAGAAGTGGACAGGAAAGTGCAAGTTGGAATTCTGACCCTGAGCAGGAACACCAACAAAATGTCTGGAAGAGAGAGGGTGTCTGGGAGGAGCAAGATGCTCAGTTTTCCTGAGGTTTCCCAGGCAGAGCAAACATTTTGAGGTTGGTTCACACTTCAGACACTGCAGGTTGTCATCAAAAGGGCTCTACTTTCAGGTGCCAGCAGTGTTTGAGGTCCCTTCCTCCCTGGCCATGGGAGGCCTGTTCAGATGGATCTGGATCTCCACCAGGTTCTGCCTGAAAGTCCCATGTGGATGTCTCAGATATCCTACAGTGTCCAAACATCCACCATGTGCCAAAAACTGCCTCATCCCTAAAAAATTAGGTGGCAAATAACTGGTTGGCAGCAGGATTTACCTGCTCCACAGGCTCCAGAGGGTCCAACCTTCTCCTGGGAACGGGAGACTGCAGCAGAGGATGGGAGAGCAGCCCTGGTGATGGGTAGAACATTCCATGTCTGAGCCTTTGGACATTCCTCTTGGTGTGAGGTGACCTCAGCTACGTTTAGAGTCTTCAAAGAGAGAGAAACTGGACAGGGGTGATTCCCTGTTCCAACAAATCAGCATAAAAATGAAGGTTGGGGCTTTTTAGGCAAAGCTGAAAACAACAAACACAGAATGAATTCCCTCCCTGCCGGCAACAGCTCTTCCCTCAAAAACCAGCCTCACACAGCAGACAACAACCATTTCTCCCAAGACTGCACCTCTCTCGTAGTTCCAGAGGAATCCTGATAAAACATGAACTGCAGAACCTGCTCAAAAACTACTCCTGGATTTGTTGGGGTGGGCGAATGTAGAACTGTATCGGTTCAAACCCGCTAAGGAACACCCACAGCACCAAAGGATTTTACGAACACCACCAGTGGGCTTCTGTATCTTTTGTTTTTTCCCCCTCAAAAAAATCTTTGCTGATCTGCCCTGTTTTTTGTGCTGTGATTCCCCCAGGTCCCGCTATGCAGAGTTCCAGTTCAACTGCCAGCCCTCCCTGCAGGCTGCCAGCGGGTGCCGGAGGGAGAGCTACGCTGCCTGTCTGCTGGCCTACACTGGCATCATAGGTATGGGGAGGGCAGATCTGGCTTGATTTAATTATTAAAGTAAAATGTGAGGTGCAGAGAGAGAGAAAGGAATAAAAAAGAGGTGGGAGGGAGAGGAGAAGGAGGGATCAAGCGTCAAGGAAAGCGCTGCCATCCGGGCGAGGGAGGGGATTGTCCCGCTCTGCTCCGCCCTGGGGCAGCCTCACCTGAAAGTTTGTGAGTGTTCAGCCTGGAGAAGGCTCTGGAGAGACCTTCCAGCACCTTCTGGTGCCTAAAGGGGCTCCAGGAGAGCTGGAGAGGGGCTTGGGACAAGGGATGGAGGGACAGGACACAAGGAATGGCTTCCCACTGACAGAGGGCAGGGATAGATGGGATACCGGGAAGGAATTCGTGGCTGGGAGTGTGGTGAGGCCCTGTCCCAGGTTGGGCAGAGAAGCTGTGGCTGCCTCTGTATCCCTGGAAGTGTCCAAGGCCAGGCTGGAGCACCCTGGGCTAGTGGAAGGTGTCCCTGCCCGTGGCAGGGGGTGGAACGAGATGAGCTTTAAGGTTCCCAACCTATGAATGTTCTTAGGGAACCTGAATTCCCAGAAAATGCCCATTCCTTGGACTGAGAGCACTTTCTAATCAATTGAACACTTTGGTGGTGGTGGGGTGACCACAGAGGTTGTGATTCTCCTCCCTGGAAGCAAACCAGAGCCACGACAGCAGCACTGGGAGGGTTTGTGCTGCCCTCACAGAGGGCTTTGGCCAAGGCTGAGAGCAGAGCAACCCAAGAGAGCAGCTTGGGGGGGATCTCACCGACCCTGTGGTCACACTTCTCCACCCCTTCCCCTCTGCAGGCAGCCCCATCACCCCCAACTACATCGACAACTCCACGTCCAGCATCGCTCCCTGGTGCACCTGCAACGCCAGCGGGAACCGGCAGGAAGAGTGTGAGACCTTCCTGCACCTCTTCACCAACAACATCTGTCTCCGTGAGTACCTGTGGCATCCCTGCACCCTGGGGGCCCTCCTTTGGAACGGGGGCATGGAGATGCCCTGCTCCTCGGGAGTCTGTGGGTGCCCAGCTCCCTGGTTGCCAGCAGAGCAGCCGGGAAGACCCTCAGAGGTGCATTTGGGTGGTGCAGGGATGTTTTGCCTTGCCCTGACGAGCCTTTTCTCCGTCTCTTTCCCAAGAAAACGCCATCCAGGCCTTTGGCAACGGGACGTACCTGAGCTCGGCCGCGGCCCCCTCCATCCCCCCCACCACACAGATGTACAAGCAGGAGCGAAACGCCAACAGGGCCGTGGCCACCCTCCGGGAGAACATCCTGGAGCACCTCCAGCCCACCAAGGTAGGACAGGGCTGGACCGGCCCCAGGAGATGCTGGGTCCTGTCTGTGGCTCCTCCCACCCCCCTCAGCTCAGCTCAGCTCCCTCTTCCACCTGTGTCATTCCAGCCACAGACATCCAACCTCCACCTCCTGGAGTCCTTGATTCTGCACGTCCTGACATATTTTCCCCAGCATCAAGCTCAGAGCTACAAGTTCCTGTCCCTCACTCTGCCCTCCTGTTGGTCTTTTCTCTTCTCTTCTCTTCTCTTCTCTTCTCTTCTCTTCTCTTCTCTT